TTCTATATAAAATAGCATCACAAATGAATACCTCGTCTTTAATAGCATCTGCACGATTTCTGTGTAGCCATTCGCACACGCCCCTCGCATGGCTCTGTTCTTCTGTGCTGATGGGTCGACTCCTTTTGTGGTCTCGGATAACAGAAGCGCTACAGTGTCTTCGTGTCCATTTGCACAGGCCAGTACCAATGCCTCGTTGTTGGCGCGTCCTAAGAACGATGCAGGTGAGGGTATCAAATCTTTACGGTTTTAGAGGATTGAAGTTTTCGGATATGGAATTGTGGGGTGTAGGGATTTTTTTGGGGGGCATTTTGAAGGTCTTGGAGCCATTTGTACATGACATGTCAATCCAATGCGTTGGTATAGTACATCCTGCGCAAGTGTACTGCACAATATACCTTGCTCGGAGATGGAATGGATGTATAAATATACATACAAATATTGATGCGTATGATTTGTGTAATAAAACAAACGTATGGTCATAGGCAGAGCGAGAATCAATTATCTACTCGCATAGACACGTGCACATGTCCATGGCTCAATTCTGACGGCTTAGCTTTGTAGCCCTGTCACTGGCAACCTTACATGACCAGCCATGCTGTTATATATTCAGGTACAGGAGGTGTGTATTGTGCTCGACTACACTCCACGTCTTCTCATCTTCGATTATTACTACATATAAACTAGACAACGATACTTATGTATATACACTGTATACTAATATTGATGTAAGTACTTATGATATGACAGTATTTAGATATATACCAACTGTATTTATCTCTATGCTATGAACTACGCCGCTCGGGTAATAAACCTACCTGGTTCGATCTCTCCGACAGACAGGAAGAATTTGACAATTTCCGTGAATCCGTTTTGTGCACTAATTATCAGACATTCCTCGCCGCATTCAGCCCAGACTTCTGATTTGTTCAACTGCAACAACAAAAAATATAAAATTGAGAACTCCAACGTTGAAATCATAAATAGTTGAAGAAAATATATACAACTTTATAACCCTGCAACACGCATACACCACCAGCCGTATACTAAATATCAAACAAATAATCTTGTATATTTTGTACGCAGACACAAAATATTATATATATACAAAATACATATACATATA